TTGATGAAGAAATCTGTCAACTTTTTTTGTTGTCTCGCCTCGTATATATTCGATTGAATGCGTCGCAACAGACTTTGCAATTTTGGCATGTCTTGCTCTTCTACGAATTTGGCGGGGTCTTCATACTGCAGAAGTAATTTGCATTGTTCCAATGCCGTAGAATGAAATTTCAATGTCGCTGCCTTCATTACAGCTATCATAATTGGACGCGTGGAGTATGTTTATACTAGTACACAATAGGACGCAAATCGTATTATAAGGAGACGTAGTAAATACGTGATATTGTAGAATTTTAAATTTGAAAATACTAATTTATATTGATGTTGATATCAGCGAGGTACATTTAATTAGGAATAAAATCTGATATGTGTTGATAGGGATATCAGCGGGGTATGGTATCCAAATTGATATATGCGGGAGAATTTAACGGGGTGGATATTAGAGAGTTCACTGTATATGCCGTCCCATTCACTGTCATTGTGTGCTTTATAAATGAGATCGTTGAAAGCACCCTTGCAATTGGTCGTTTGGTGGGATCAGCGTCACAATACCGTTTTGCAAGTTTCTTATCGTTGCGGCATCATGCTGTATGTACTCAGTTATATCCCGCTTCAGATAAAGTCTCCGTCGACATAAACTAGGGACGACTGTATGATAGAATAAACTCTCATATATAATAACCTGTAAGTGAATGCATCATATTTATAATCGAATTTGTCCTTTTCTTGGCAATTACAATTCTCAAATGGTAAAAATATGCATAATTCTGTTTTATTCAAATTTTAGTTTATTAGAAATAATTAATATATTATCATAATTCTAACTCAAAATATAGATAAATATATAGTAATAGGTAGTAAATATAAATATATTCCAGTAATCACATGTGAAAAATAAATATTCTAGCTATAACTTTAATCAAAATTTTGCACACAACAATTTCTCATATACTATAATAAAACATTTCACCAGTAAAAGCCAATTATAACATTTTAATCAGTGAGGGAATGTGCCAATTTTGAATAATGCTTTAACATGGCCCTTTTGAGCAGCTTTTTGACACAAAATAACTGCTTTTTGATCATCTTTCTCTAGTCCAATTCCATTTTTATAGCATATAGCAAGATTGTACTGTGCATCAGGATACCCCTGTTTAGCTGCAGCTTGATAATATTCAACAACTTTCTGGTCATTTTTTCTCACAATAATTCCTTTGTAATAAAACATGGCAAGATTATTTTGTGCATAGCAATCTCCCTGCTCAGCAGCTTTTTGATATAATTCAAATGCCATTTTGAAATCTTGGTATACTCCAATTCCATTCTCATAACATACACCAAGATTATACTGTGCTCTGGCATATCCTTGTTCAGCTGCTTTATGATACAAGTCAACAGCCATTGGTATGTTTTGGGTCACTTTTATTCCATTATGATAACAACTACCTAAATTGCATTGTGCCTTGGAATATCCCTGTTTAGCTGCTTTGTGATATAACTCAACTGCCTTTTGCATATCTTTTTCAACTCCCAATCCTTTGCTGTAACACATACCAAGACCATATTGTGCTTTAGCAAATCCCTGCTCAGCTGCTTTTTGATACAATTCAACAGTTTTGTGATTGTCTTTTCTCACTCCAGTTCCATTCTGATAACACATACCAAGATCATATTGTGCATAAACATATCCTTGGTTAGCTGCTTTTTGGTACCATTCAACAGCCACTTGAATGTCCTCTTTCACACCAAATCCATCATAATAACATGTGCCTAAAATATATTGAGCTCTGGCATGTTCTGTCTCAGCAGCCTTTTTGTATAACTCAACAGCCTTTTTAATGTTTGTTTCTACTTCAATACCATTTTCATAAAATAAACCAAGTTTATATTGTGCTCTGGCATATCCTTGCTGAGCTGCTTTTTGATATAATTCAACTGCTTTCTTAAGATCTTTTCCTATTCCTGAACCATTCTTATAGCATGTTCCAAGCTTGTACTGTGCAGGAGCATAACCATGTCTAACAGCCTTTTGGTATAACTCCACTGCTTTTCCAATATCTTTTCTCATTCCAATCCCATACTCACAACATGCACCAAGATTGTATTGTGCATGATAATATTCCTGTTCAGCAGCTTTTTGGTATAAAGCAACTGCTTTTTTTATATTTTGTTCTACCCCTATTCCACTCTCATAACATGCACCAAGATTATTTTGTGCTCTGGCATAACCCTGTGTAGCTGCATCTTGGTATAATTTAATTGCTTTTTGATGATCTCTTTCAACTCCTATTCCATTTTCATAACATATACCAAGATTATATTGTGCATAACAATCAAACTTTTTAACAGCTTCTTGGTAAAGTTCAACTGCCTTTTTTATATCTTTTTCGACCCCAATTCCATCATCATAACAAACTCCAAGATTATTTTGTGCTCTGGCATGGCCCTGTTCAGCAGCTCTCTGATATAACTCAATTGCCTTTGCATAATTTTTTTCTACTCCTGTTCCATTCTCATAACAAGCAGCCAGATTATATTGTGCACACGAATTTCCCAGTTCAGCAGCCATTTGGTATACTTCAGCAACTATTCCTTCTACACCAGTTTTGCATACATGAAGACTATTTCTTACCATATTATTTTCATTCTCACCTTTTCCAGCATTATCATGAAATGGGTCAAAAGCTCTTTCAAAAGCTTTTCTGTTATCTCTTTCTGTGTCAATTTCATCTTCATTGCAGAAATCATAATTATAGAAATTTCTTTGTTTTGCTCGCTGTGTAATAGCATAGCTATAATCATCTAATCGTTCATCAATTAGCCTTTTCTTTTCTTTTTCAACTCTAATTCCATCTATAAAATGTGTTTCAGGCTCCATTGGCACAGGAGAAGTTTCTGATTTAGTATTAGCAGTCTTTTGAGTGGCACTTGTTTTTCCACTGTTTTTTCTTTTGAGTCTATTAAACCTATTTTGTGCTCTAGCATACCCTTGATTGGCTGCTTGTTGATATAATTTAATTGCTGTTTCGATATTTCTTTCTACTCCATTTCCCTTCTCATAACATGTCCCAAGATTAGTTTGTGCTGGAGCATAACCATTTTTAGCAGCACTTTGATAGAGTCTTATTGCCTTTTCAATGTCCTTTTCTATGCCAGTTCCATTCTTATAACATAGACCAAGGTTATATTGTGCTGGAGCATAACCTTGTTCAGCAGCTTTTTGGTATAATTTGACAGCTTTTCCAATATTTTGTTCTACTCCAGTTCCAGTCTTATAACATGCACCAAGATTGTTTTGAGCATAGAAATCTCCCTTTTTCGCTGCTTTCTTGTAAAACTCAACTGCTTTCTGATGATCTTTTTCAACACCGTTTCCGTTCCTGTAGCATAAAGCAAGATTATATTGTGCACTTGTATGTCCTTGATTGGCTGCTTTTTGATACAATTTAAATGCTTCTTCAATATTCTTTTCTACTCCCGTCCCATTCTCGTAGCATACACCAAGATTATTTTGTGCTCTTGCATATCCTTGTTTAGCTGCTTTTTGAAGTAGTTCAATTGATTTTTTAAGATTCTTTTCTACTCCTATTCCGTTCTTATAGCATACGCCGAGGTTATACTGTGCAGCAGCGTGACCTTTCTCAGCAGAGTTTTGGTACATTTTAACCGCCAATTTGGTATTTACGCCGCTTCCATTAAATGTATCAAGCTCAAATTGTGCATTATAATCTCCTTGTTCATGGTATAGTTCAACGTCAGTTTCTACGCCAGCTTCATAAAGATAATTTTCCGCACCAAAAGTACTTTGTTTAGAGACTTTTCTATTTAAGTCGAATGATTTTTCAAAATCGGTTTCGAGTGCAATTTCGTTATTGTAGTAGATACCAGGATTATATTGCGTTTGAGAGTTTTTCTGTTCAGCAGTCTTTAGATATAATTGAATATTGTTTTCGTTGCCAGTATCCTCTTCTAATCTAGTTTCGTTATAATGGCGTATGCCTATCCGATCAGCGAAGTTTTCTTTATTAACTTCATTCTCAAAGCGCACGTCATACCTTTGATTTGGATTTGCGATCATGCTTTTTGACATTTAGATAGGTTTATCAATTATTCGCAAAACAGTCGGATTGTCAACTTTATGGTTAGGATGTTTGCTGATTATCCGCTGGTCTTGCAGTTATATGTGAAACCTGAAACCCCCTAAGCTATGGTAAAGTAAATTACGCCAATATGAAGCTCGATGTTGTACAACTCAAAATGCATTTAATATTAATGCATCAAGGGATAATGAAACACAAGTATAAATACAATTTTCGCTATTTATATTTACAGGTGGACTCTAAGCGCAGCACGTATGACCAAATCAGACACGACCTGCATTTATAGAATCTGCATTTATAGAGAGTGAAATACTTAATATAGGCTCGGGACCAAACCAGAGCCTGCATTTATGGAGGGAAAATATAGTACTTGGGAGAGTCCATTGTACTTTAAAGTAATAAATCAGCTCGTGTACCTCGACGATTAGTAATAGTAGTTATTATATGCTATTGTATAAGATACACAAAATTATTCCCATTATCCACTATATACGCCTACCTTTTTATAGTAAACACATATGTCGTATGTAAATCCTCCAAAACCGTACATACAGTGACGGATTTGCCTCATTGTCTAGTCGAATTTGTTATCATTAATTTATGATTCAGAGGGATAACTATAAAGCTTTCGTACATTGCCGTCTTTCAAAACGATGCAGGATGCTAAAAGCCACATGAATGAATGAATGAATGATAGAATTTTATTCCTCTAAAGGGACAACTTCTTTTGAGATAACTTTAAGCGGCATACGACAAAAGTTTACTGTAAATATTAAATATTAATACGTTTAACAAATACTTAAATTAATTTATAGGTTAGTTTTATACTAGTTTGGACGGGTAATTATGAATGTTAATTAAATGAATAAATACTCTTGCGTTAATGTTAGCAATTTAAATTTCAATGGTTGTCAAATCTACTACGATGTTGTTGTAATTTTTTCAAATACTGCTGTAACTTTCCTCTTTCCTCATCATCAGTCACTTTTGCCAGAGAATTTTCTAGCATTTCCACACCCGTTCTATAGCTTTCTTCATCGTTTAGTTTTGCTCCGTAATCAGCTAAATCTTTCATACAACGGTAATGACCAAGTTTCGCACCTTTTAAAAATAACGGCAAACATTCGTATTTCATTCTTTGCGTAATTGCGTCTGCGTCTTCGATTGCCCCCGCAGCCAAAAACATTTTTCGATACACATTAGCTGCAGCAATTTTCTCTTGAGCCCGGTACTGAAGAGCATCAACACACCCTAATTTAGACGCCGTCTCCAGATAACTTATCCCTTTATCAGCATCTTTAGGGGAAAAGTCGATGTCCTTGTTCATGAGATATAAACCAACATAGTAGTTTGCTTCGGCGTTGGGCTCGACAGCGTCAGCAAGAATTTCAAATTGAGCGAACGCTTCGTTGTATCTCTTTTGAGCGTGTAACTCACGTGCAGTCTGGAGTGTGATGTTGAGACGCGTAAGAGTACTTGGGTCGCATTGGATAGCAGGTTCGATAAATTCATTCGAACCCGTTTCTAAATTGCTGGTTTTGTATTCCTTTTCAAGGCTTTCGAGGTTTTGTACAACCAGTTCTATCGACGGACGCCTTTCAGGGTCTTGTTCCCAACATGCCTGCATTATTTCTTGATATTTCTTAGGTGTACCATCGACAATTCGTGGGCGCGAATCATCGCCAGATGCATCAGAATTTTTCAACAGTAAATATACTTCATCAACATCTTTTTCTATAAAGGGAATTTGATGAGAAGAGATTTCCCACATGAGCATACCGAAGCTGTAAGAAATGTGAAGTGTATACTGGTAAGACTGATGAAAGTTATCGTCGAAAATTACACATCCCCTCCTCTCTCAGTATCCTGACGCGTTTGATAATTGACTTCATACCTGTAGACATCTGCTTCCATCGAGTAGGCAAGTTCGTTATTCTTCACTTTTTCGGGACATAGCCATCTGATACTACTCAAATCGTAATCAAGAGACGTTGTAACGTCTTCTGTACTTCTACTACGCCCAAAGTTGCCCAATTTTACATTGCGCGCCCTATCGACAAAGACGTTGTGACTGTAAATGCGGAAGTAAACTTGTTCGTAAACTCGAAAGTTTGGGCTAGCGAAAAGACTTCCAACGTTGTAAATTTCATTACCAACGAATGTCATGATGCAGAACCAGTTTACTATGGCATATGGCTACTGCGCTTGCCAAACGAGATGCCATTCTTATCTTAGTGCTCCAGCAAATGTCTTCATGTTCCTCAAGGAATTTGTCGAGGGTTCCAAAATCTGACCACTCTGTGATCATATAGTAATCTGTACCGTCAAGTAAAATCCCAGAGCTACGTATATAACAATTAAGTTAATCATTGAAAACGCAGAGAATATTGAAGCACTGAACAATCAACAATGCAGACAAGTAGCCAAACACATACTTTTTCATGAATAAATCGGTGTTGACATTCAAATATGTGCTGATGTAAACTTGTACATAATGCCTGGAAAGCTTTTCTTTAATATCGCTATCTCCCAATTGTCCAATTCTCATCTTCGCAGCTCTAACCTCATGTTGATTAGCATCTCGATATATGACCTTTGTACAACTATTATCAACAGAATCATCATATAGAACGTCAGGATCACGGGTAACCGATTCAGGGTCAATGTTTAACTTTTCTATTTCATCCTCGGACAGTAGAGCACCGTGGAAGCATGCAGTTGTAATAAATGCGGCTTGAACTTGTCGCTGAACAACGGTGACCGTATTCTGTGAGTCAATTGGCTCACTCATCCTGCGCTCTATTCGTTCTTTCAACATTTTTAGGTTTACTTCTATATCAGCAGATCTAAGAGCGGCATCTAAATTTTTAAATAGAGCTTCTATCTTCTTGCCTATCTACAGAAATACGCGACTTAGATTGTAAGTCATACAATAAAAAGAATAGTCTTATGTATTTTGTAGCTTCGCTGGAAATAAACACCCTCATTAAGTCACAACACTTACTTTATCAGTAGTGGAAAGCTTCTGTAATAATGCTTTCATTTTAGGTTTGGTGTATTGTAACAGAAACTTTTCCCAACTTCTCAGTGCTTTCATTAAAGTCTGAGCCTGTTCCTCGTTGATGGTATGCCTTCGATCATTCATTGCATTCTTTACTTCCGTCAGATACGCCTTCATAAAAGGTAATGCATCTTTATTGTATTTTGCATCGTCGATGAGCTCTAAAATACAGTCAATCTTGGCGAACACATTGGATGTTTCGAGAAAATATGTGGCTTTGGCAGAGGGAGAAATCAATTCAACCGTAGTACCCAAAAGTTTTTTGAGGCCCATAATTAATGTTAGTGGTCTATCTATAAAAGATTATGATTAAAATGATATTGATTGTCTATAATTCTTCGAAGTTTTTGTATGCTGATTTTCCAGTGTCTGCGACTCAGTTACACAAAGCTGCGCATAAAAAGTTGTTGCGCAGAAGCTATGCCGTTTTTGTGTGAGCACATACAGTGATTTTCCGAAATGCATGCAAATAACAAAAATGAAATTATTTCACTAATTATCGTGCTGACAGTCAAACGTCCGACTCGCGCATCTATGTTGAAACCTTCCGAGTATATTGGGCTAAGCTCTTGACGCATTAGCTCCAATCTTCCTATTTCAAATAAAATATACATGGGTAGTAAGAGTGTAACGAGGAAACCAGCGTGAACATTCCGTTCAGTATTGATGCTCTGTTTAATGCAGCACAACAAATTGCAACATCCAAGGAAACCCTGTGATATTAATCTGACTCAAAGCCAAGTTATGTTGCCAAAATGTTACGTATTCTACACGCAAAATTACAACCTTTTAACAAAGTTGCCTTATAGCTCTTCCTTTATTTAAGGTTATACCCTGTCTTTCAAGAAACGAGTACATGACATTCTGCAATAAAATACAAATCTCATTAGGAAATTTTATGTGGATTCTCGAATTGGGTCCCACTCCTGGTTGTGAAGGACCGGTACTTGAAAGCACCATCATTGAATATGATGACAAAACAAAGAGATTATTAGCATTCTAAATGTTAGATGCTCCAGAAATGTATGCAGGATCTCAAAAAGATAATTTAAAGTCAGTTCTGTGGTAGATGCCTATTTTAAGAACAGACACAAACAATGATAGACAATAAACTTGACATAAATCATATTACCAAGAGGACCCACTGGTAGCTTCTAGCTCTAGTTGGTCAGTTTTAATACCAAAATCATAGATTCTAGTCACATACTCTGACTGTGTCAGCAAAATCGCGTAAAGAACTTACGTTCACAATTTCTCACAAGTTTTCCGTTCTGAATTGAAATCCTTCCGCTTTCTTGCAAGAACGTTTAATGCATCCATTTCAGTTTTCGCTTGACAGTGAGCTAAGAACATAGACAAGCGTGACATTAATAAGAAAAATCAGAATATATGCAACACACCCGCGTTCTTCCCAGAAATTTATCAAGATTGGCGTATTCCCAAAATTCTTTTATTGCAGTTTTATCATCGTTCTTAGAAAAACGGCGATGCATACAGAGAAAGATAAAAAAAACCAATTCTGTTACTGATTCAGTCGAGAGCGTTTTATAGGCAGGTATCACACTAAAAACGGGCAGATGTCTGTATTGTAGAACGGCGCCCCTCTTTGGCTGGTAGCATATGTTCAGAAAACGAACGAACAAGACCTTCTTCTTTCGCGTAGTAGTAGTAGTAGTGAAATTAAATTTGTTTGTGACACAACTCGACCCCTGTAATTGGCAGGCCAATTTTGATGAAATAATTATTTTCTCTGACCCCTCTACAAACTTTTTTCGAGAGCCATGTTTGCTTTGCGTGTTGGAAGACCCGTTGTGGCTGCTGTTGCACCCAGGTAAGGGACTAAGGACGAAATATTGACAATAGACTTTCTTGTAGTTAAGGCACGGTTAGTGAAAATATATTATTCTTGAAATAGGAGCGTCCGATTGGCCACTAGTTGTGCTGACATTTTTACAATTCTACAGCGTTAGGCTTCAAACCCGGAACTATGCTACGTTAAAGGAAAGTAAGTACATTGGCTCTTGGTAATTCTGCCTATTACTTATCGGGTTACTTTTCTCATCATACTTGTATTTCCATCTTTAATTGGGGGTTTAATCGACTCTTATTTACAATAGTTCAACTTCGACTCAAGTCCGTAAACAATATCGCAAAGGTAGATAACATATCAAATTACAATGCTCGAAAGAAAGCCGAGACCTATCCAGTAGTGAATTAAACATGTGGCTTGAAACCAAACCGTTTTTTTGATAAACAGATCACAAAATCGATGAAAATGATTGCATCGACGAAAATGACTCGGTGAGCGTAATTATGTTGGTCTTTCGACTGATTTGTTTAATTCTTGCAGCTAACAAGTGGTTGCTTATTTTAAGAGCCCAGAAAGCAATGGAGATGGCTAGAACGTTTGGGAAAACTCAAATAGGTAATTATATTCAATTCGTACACCCGCTCTCGATATTGTGTCTGAGATTAACGTTAGTTTGGCACGCATCTTTTATCATTTGCAGCTCTATTCTCTCATGCAGACACCAAGCCTGCTGACGATGCCCGAACAATTGTAATCACTGTTTCATCCGATCGTGGACTTTGCGGTGGTATTCACAGTAGTGTTTCGAAAGCTTCTCGTCAGATTCTCGAAGACAAGTCTGACGCGGAAGCTATTGTTCTCGGTGACAAAGCCAAAGCACAATTATCACGAACACACAGAGAAAACATTAAGCTGTCCTTTAATCAAATTGGCAAAAGTGTCCCAACGTATGCTGAAGCTAGTGCCATAGCGGACACTATTCTGAAAGAGAAAGTAGAATTCGATCATGCGATTATTGTTTATAATTACTTTAAAAGCATAATTTCTTACTATGCGGAGACGATTCCAGTATATTCAGAGTCCGTTTTTGCGAAGTCTGGTGAGTATACCCGAAAGGATGGTTTTTAGAATTGGCACAAGTTTAACCAACAATTGATATCCATTAATGTAACTTCTCGACTTTACCCATTAGGCAACTTCGCGGCATACGAAATTGAGGACGATGTGCTGGAGAATCTGCAGGAATTTGCGTTTGCAAATTCAATCTACTGGGGTCTCGTTGAGAGCCATGCAGCCGAGATGGCTTCCAAGCGTAGTGCTATGGAGAACGCCACAAAGAATGCTGGAGAAATGATAGATAAATTGACATTAACGTATAATCGTGGTAGACAGGCTGCCATTACAAATGAATTGGGTTCGTTTCATTATGAAAGTTGTATACGTTTTATTTGTAACATATATATATTATGAATACTAACTTTCTTTAATTTATATAGTTGACATTATTACGGGTGCGTCTGCTCTTTGAAAGGTTCGCACCTTCACATTTACGTATTATGAGATATAATAAAGATTCTAAATAATGCTCGTAACCTGAGCCAAATCAAATCCTATGTGTCCAATTGCACTTACATGACATGTATGATACAACAAAAAAACCAAGGTGACAGACAATTTCATCCATATTACCATTACGATCACTAATCGCATCAAAGTGTTTGTATGCTCCTTAATATTGGTAGCCTAGTTCTGCAAAATATTTCTCCCGCTCTTCCATGGCTTCTACATATAACTTCCTTTCCACAAAATACTTCCTTTGATCTGCAAACGACTTCTCAATCCACGGGGCTCTTCGTTCCACAGTCATTCTATCCCACCTTTCATCAGTTATTTGTCTTATAGTGCTTTCTTCAATAAAAGGCACATGACGACTTAGTGCCTCTTTCATATCGATAACAAAATGTTCGTAGGAAGTACGTGGTATTTTTGGTGGAGATAGGAGTGTGGGTGGAAATGCCGGTGGTAGTGGTGTAGATGGTATAGACGGTATAGACGGTATGGATGGTATGGACGGTATGGACGATATAGACGTATAAAAGTTTGTCATACTTAAGTTATCCATTATTTTCTGTGCTTGACATCCCGTTTGTGCGATATACGCTGCCCTTCGCCAGTATTCATCTCGCTGCTGCTAATAGATTGTGAGTAATGTATAGTTAAGAAAAAAAAAATTAATAACATGTACCGTATGTACGTTATTTATCAACATGTCCATTACATGAAAATTTTTTTACTGCTTAATATACGTATAACACTATAATGGTATTGGTTTGGAGAACCATTCTCAGTACCTGTGTTAGATATTTCCAACTACACTCGACATTAGCGGAAAAGTCTTCCAAAGTCATGTTAGGTTTTCCTTTCATGAATGTCCGCCTCTGCTCCTCAGTAAAGAGAAGTTTCCCAAACTGTCGTGAGTCAATATTTATACTTTGTGTCGTCTCTGAGAACCTCCCTTTGCAAGCATTTATAAAAATTTAGGGGTTTGAATGTCGCGCATTCGGTCAACTTCTAAGAGTAATTGTGAATGCATACCTTTTGTTTGCGGAGCTACTACTCGTTTTTTCTTATCATTTAGGCTATAAGCAACTCCAGCTGAGAAGCTGGAATGATAATCATATAAGCCTGTAGAAGACTTCCGACATGGTTGAGGGCCAATGTAGTGATGCTGAAAGTGATTATTGTGTCTTGACATTTTTGATAGTTAAATTTGTGCAGAGAATGTATGTTACGTATAAATCTTGGGCAAAGTTTTAGCGTCAATTACAAATTTGCAAGAGTTCGTTTAGTAGTAATCTCTCCAAGTGAAAACAATAGATAAATATACGTTGAGCTCGTCACGTACCAGTTGAGACGCGGGATTTTATATGTGAGCAAGAGATCGACATAACGCGCGCCTTAGTATGTGATTGGTTGAAAATTTTCTTTAAAAAATGTTGGGGCAAATTACATCTACCACTGCATGTATTTTAAAACTGATAGATCGCATGACAAACAATACGATATTTATTTTAAATTTCCTTATTAGTAGGCATCGAAAATGGACTTGCGTGCGTAAAGTTCATCCAACTTACATTATTAAAAATACTCTATAACGATCAAATATAGGTCACTATGCTGTGATTAAATTTCCATCACTAGTCTCTCTTTCTTCAATTCTATAATATTCTAACCATACTAGCCATGCAACGCGTCTTGTTAACGCGAGCACGCGTCATCTGTGATAAACATTTGGATCTGAGAAAACAAATAGCCACGCAAAGATTACTCGAGGTCAATTACCAAATACGTTCATTCCCCAATGTAGTTAGGACCTACAAACACGTTGTAACTGGGGGTACTTGTATAAATAAACACTCCTTAAATAATATTGACAAAAATACGTATAGTATTCATTCCCGAGTCAAAACCATACTTACCATGGAAGTTGAGCAAATACCGATACCACCAGGATGTTCCGGATATGATCGACGTTCGTCACTTGCATAAGTAAAAAGTTGTTGATAATTATCTTATGAGGAGGAAATAACTATGTATATACTTGGTCCTATATTTGACTACAGGAGAATGTTAGTAACGAACACACGATGAACCCAAGTACGTAATCTAATTTTTACCGAACTATAGAGTTTAACTTGTCTAAATTATTTCATGCTCTAACCGATGACAAAGAACATAATTTTTAATACATTTATCTTGAAAGATGCCAATACGGAATTTACGTGATCTCTTCCTCCCGACGCGTAATAATAATGAATACTTGTTTTATGGAATGACGAAGCAGCGATACCCAGGAATTGCAAATTCCCGTCTATTATGCAATGCAGTAGATGATTATGATGATCCGCCTTCATCATCCCCATCAGGACATTCAGGAACCCTCATCAAGTGAAGTAGGGGACGACATAAAGATGTGCAAAAAATATGCTGTTACCAGCAAAGGTTAGAACTATAGATTCAAACTCGTTGAGAATTTATTACGGATCCGCAGTTGCAAAAAAAAAAAAAAAATTCTCTGTGACGTAAGAATATCAAGGTAAATAAACTCTGTACCACAAGATTTATATATTGTCAAATAAACCTTCCATTATATTGATCGAAAATGCTTTGAATAGAATTAACACTTGTGCATTTTCCTACATCGTTTAGGTGGACGGCCCAGTAGATCATGATTTGTCGACGGCATCGGGATAGTTCATGATCGTGTTGAGTTTTTCCATTACAGACAACTCTATAAGGACCATCTCGGACAAAGCAAAATCGTTCCTTATAACCGGCGGGTCCGTAGAATATACGATGTGGCAAAGCACAGGTGGTCGTTATAAGGCATCGGGTCCGTACAAAAAAGGTCCTTATAAAGAGAGTTGACTGTACATCCGATTGACGTTATCAATGACACGTCAATGACAACTTCCTAGAAGAAAATGAAGGAACGGCATATACAAGTTATAATGGGAAGGCGTAAGGGATACGGCTCCTAACAAGCCACGAGGGTCCTTTTGATAATGACTGACGCGGCATATGCTACCAACGGTGATCATTATGCTTTTTTGTTCTCAAAGTGATAAACGAACGGCGCGATTTGGACGTTCCACTGTACCTGCGCGATAGAGATACCTAGAAGTGGCGTCGTGTTTTCCCGATTTCTTTCGTAGATCATACTCCTAGAATTCATTTTGTACATGATTCGTCGAGTTTACGTTACCTTCGAAATGAATTTTATTTTGGGGCTGTTTAGAGTAAAGGATATTGACCGAGACAAGAGACAATAGCTTATTACTTTATATCAATTCTCAACTCTACAGTCAAAATAGCTTACTTACTTCATATCCATTAATTAAGTACGCGCCGCTTTAATGATGACGCTTCTGGCTTTCACAGTCAATGGATCTTAAATTCATTCATATTCTACAAAAGAACACGTAGATAGACAGTAAACACAGTGATCCTTAAATAAGTGACGGCAAACGCATACCAGTTATACACGGCGGTAGTCTATCACCTTCCAGTATCAGATTGATAAATAAATAATATCAGGAGGTATAACACGTAGACGCACGCGTAATGTTTCCATTAGTAAGTAATCCAGATCCTATAATAACAAATATGCGATATCAGTAGCAAAAATAATAATTCTCTTAATAATGGCAACATTGAGAATCCGTAAGTACACGTGTCAGCACTTGGACGTGATATCAACAACTATAATAATGAGACGTTCCATTCAAACTTGACCCCCACCATTATCGTCTGCTATCATAGTCCCATGTAAACATGCTATAAGTCACCAGAGTTTCGCGACAACAATGCAAGCAGTATCGCAGATAGACATATCCCGACAGGCTCTAATAATTGATAATTTCGTGTCAGCCATAGTGCAATCAATGAAGATCTAATGATATCTGTTACAATTTCTTCTACTGCATTACCTTCAGTGCTGTTTGTAGATCTGTCTCCAACAAATACCATAACTTGATAAACAAATACCATGACTTGATAAACAGATGCGTTGGCGGGAGAACATAATACTAACAAACATGACTGGTAAACGGTAACAAAAACGAGATCGATAAATGCGGACGGTTCCAACATATAGGGTATGCAGAGAATGGGCCAACAGTTGTGAATGTTTCACAAGACGTGTACCTCAACCTAAAATTGCTACTTTTCGTGTTTGTTTACGTGCAGGAAACGAAAATTCGTGATTGTTTACGGGTGAAAAAAGTATTTAAATGCTGTATAACGGTAATAGACATGAAAGTTCTCTCTGCAGGTGGTGTGCAAAATTAATATTTTTGAGCTAAAATTAATTAATAATGAATCCTACCACAGAAGACACTGATTCGCAGGGTGATCATAAAATAGCTAAAAACCGTGAATATGATGACGACCTATGGCCGCCAAGACTTCCGTTGACTCCGTTCTTGTTCTATGTTGCACACATGACGGCCATGATGTCGGTTCCGATTAACTTCGACCCATTGACACAAGCAAGTCAATTTGGTACGGAATGGCAGGCCATGACACCAGAAGAGCGAGCTCCTTGGGAAAAGAAAGCAGAGAAGGACAAGGAAAAGTACGATGACGAGATAGCGGATTACCTAGTCAAACACAAGGCGATGATGGGCGTAGCAAGCGAGTTGATGATGGAAGCAGACGTGAACAACGATGATTGCAATGATGGTAATGTTGTAATGGACGCGGGAGTTATGAATGATCGAGAACTTGAAGATTCCTTGGACAGAATTCTCCATATGCCTGACTTTACTGAGGATAATAGCGATACCGTACAATCTGACGGCCTTCCCAGTAACGGCAGCTATGCTTACTCTGATGATGCGAACGGTAATATGCAGGAAAATACTTGTAATATGGACTCTTCTTCCTTATCCGACGATAACCCCTTTATAGCTTGCTCACCTGGTCGTACCGCGTCTACCGTTGAGGGGCTATTTTCTCCTAGATGCCCACCACTCGAAAATGTCCAATCCAGCTCGGTTGATTCCATGGACGAAAATGCCGAACCGCCGCTCTCTTATTATCTCTTTGCTGAGCACGTTCGTTCCCAAGTTTGGAAGATGCAGCCCCGATATCCCGAAGAAGATATCAACATTCTCGTACACGATCAATGGAACCAATTAACGCCAACTGGGAGATTTGCGTGGGAAGCCAAAGCGAACGAGTTGATTTCGTCTACTCCGCATAACGCTTCAAGCTGTTCGGATAATCCATTTGACATAAGCAACGATGAAAACCAGGAACCGTTCGGCAGCAATCAACGTACTAGTTCAGGAACAAGACGAACTACATTGTCGTTGCTACACGAAACACAGAATACACTTCGGCTAACGTCTCCCCCAAGAGCTTATAATAAATCTAGCGGATTTGAAGATATATCGTCTGAACATTTAATAAACCCTACTTTTGAAAAGTATTATGATGATAATTTACATACACCCGAACCGGAGGAGCGTGCATACAAAAAACGAAAAAGGGAAATGACTGCAACACTTGAGAGACAGCTAAATAATTTGTTAGCATTCAGATCCGATGAAGATGACGATGAATACGACAAGGAGAATATGTCTCCGCTCTCACAGAAAACTAGCAAAAGCGTTACAATATCTGATAGTGATTCTCCGCTCACAGCCTTTCCTTATTATTCAATAAACTATGTTCGTCCCGAAATATTTAATGATCTACATATCGGCTCGCAGAAATCATGGACAGACAGACTCCCAACTGAAGATGAACTATTGTTCAAGAGAGAGCTAGGTGCAATATTTGCTGGTTCTGTTGACACACAATCTTTAGATGTAGTAAGCAAAGAGATTCCCAACACTGAGCCATCATCAAATGAAATGTCTGCATCAACACCACCCAAACTTCCTAAACCTGCTTTCCTTCTATTCTCCAAGGAGCTGTTACCCAAGTTATGGACATTACATTCTCCTATGCCATTCAGTTCTATAAGCAAAACGATTGTGGATACATGGTATGGTTTAACGCTTGAAGATCGTCAAGAATGGGAAGAAAAGGAACAACTTGACAGGGACAGGTTTTTGATGGAACAACAGGCATATGAATCATGCAAAGTTGAAGAGAATCTCGGGTATTAATTTAGCGTATTAATATTTGTACATTAAGGTTTGGTATACCAATGTTGCATAAATAATTATTGTTATAAAATTTAATCTGCAACTTGGAGGCTTTCGTTTAGTCGGGTTTACAACTTAACATTTTATGAACAATTGATAATTGCTATTGGGGTTTCCGGAGAAATTATTGCTGAAGGCGACGAGACACATGTATTGTACTGTATATAGGGGAAAGGATCCCATTTGGGTGATGACGCCACATTTATTGTAAAAATTGAACTCTTATAATAGTATTAACTTGCAATAAAAAGTATGGAGCATTAATATCGAAAACCAGAGCCTGAGCATTTTATCTATGAATAATCTTGCATTTAAAACATTGCGCGCTCGATCGTGGTGAGTCACAAACGGATAATCGCATCGATAGATTACCTTTTCCTAGCAAAGTTTATTGTTAATAATCAGATTCATTCATTTACTTGTAGCCATATGATGGTGAACGACTGAAGAACTCGCACAATGCTAACATTCAAAGCCAGGAAAGTGCGCGCATAATGCGTGCATGAACAAATCCGATTACATTCGATCATGTAAGAGATGCGCCGAGCATTACTTTCTCATACTAAATTCCATTAACAAACCCAATCCTTTGAGGACTATTGAGAAACACAAAGCAATAAGACAATAATAAGACAAATTAATGACCATAATTGTAATTCAACGGTAGAATACAACAGGTGGTAGCACACAATAGTACCAGATCTAACAACTTCCTTTGTATACAGTATGTTGGTTGATATTGCGCAATGCGTTAGCTCACTTGGAAGTGATGTTGAGACACAGTTAAAAGCAACATGGCATAACGCTAAGACGTTGGCTTTCTTAATGTCCTGTTGCAAACAACAAAAAAAAGTCCTTCATTACCAAATGTGGGAAGAGAAATGAGTTAATTCTAATACTAGCGCTAATTATAATGTATCATTTAACCATACATAATGATTAAATTAGGCATTCAAGATTTCAATCTTAGAAGTACTTACATGGAAACTAGAAACGATCATTTCATGGAAACAATTTATTTGTTTGTTAAAAGGCACTTAACGTTAGATGCACAACTTCGGGTTAAACAATAGCCAGCCAATCTCTTGTTTATTTGTTTACAAGGTCTCATAAAGAGTGGAAATTGCATCTCATAATATGCAATCTTTCTTCTCCATATTTGTAATTACGTATTTAATTTTCCAGGACGAGCATGCGGTACGGGTAGATATATATGTACTGACTTTATATAATTAAACGTCCAATGATAATCATTCACAGTGAACCTATCTACATATGCGTTCCAACTGGTATGCGACGTCACAAATGCAATAATCATATCAAAAGAAAAGAAAAAAACCCACACCGTTTTTCAATCAATTCCGTGTCAACAAGCTGTTCATTATGTTCTTAGTTCTGTACATGTCAAAAGTGTATACATTGTTTTTTCCAAACAGGATTGATTACAAATAGTACGAATACATGTATTTGCCTCCATGCACGACACAACTTGAAGCTACGCGCAAGGATGCATTGCTCCAGGCAACGGTAGTGAAAGAAGAACATGCACAGAAAGGAAGAAAAATAATGGGAAGAACCTTATCGAACGAATAAATAGATACAAGGACCGTACTGTATTATATTAAGATTCTATATCTATTACCCTACCGTCGAACAGATCTCTAGTACTAACCCATTACTCAAATTTGCTTCGTCTGATTTTTCTCTTCGAACCCTCAAACGTAGGCCATGCGCCCTTAGTGGGGCAGTTGGGAAGAGGTCTCCACATAATTGCAACTCGACCGTCAATAGGATTTGCCAATTTCGAGAATGCTCCTTTCGTAAGATCAACATTCTTATGACCTTTTGGACATCCAGCGCATTTATCGATGATTTTTACAACAATCGTCTTAACCTTGCCGTTCTTAATTTCGATGCACTGGTAGCACATTTCGAACTTGTTCATCCACATAGCCCCAATAAAGTCACTTGGTTTCGCATTATAGACCCTTAAACCATTGCGACCGTAGCATGCAGAGTTCTTAAGATCTGGGCCTTCGTAGTACGTTATTTGAGCACCGACGGCTCGTTTGGTCAACGTATCGTCCATTAGATTGGCTTGACCGATGCGCCATCCACCGGGAAGTGCTACCTGAGAGTTGGCTGTAGCGGCAATTGTGTAGAGAGCGAGCAGAGCGAATATGATGAATGTCTTCATTGTAGTAAAAGAGATATTTCTATTGTGTTTTGTAATTGTGTCTTGTCCAGCAACTGGCACTTTGTAATGATTGATATGTATATGTATATGTGTTCACCAGGGTTTGAATTGGTGAGAAGAAGCGGTGAATGGAGGTAAGTCAGCGCGCGACGGCGAAAAAAAAAGAGTGCGATGGATGGGTGGGATGGACGAAGACGGATAAAAAGGGAGTGTGTAGGATGGCCAGCACTGGGTAAGCACGGAGGCAAGACTGTAAAGTTAGGACGTGGGGCAATCGAGGACGAGCGGCTGCATTTATTGCATTTTCGAGGTCTCAACTCATTGATTGTTGTTATCCAATGAACAGCATTTCATTCTTTATTCGTGATTTTTAATTTACAACGCTGTGCACAGAATGTGTTCTTGTTCTCCAGTACGGATCTTTTTGTTGCATACCCGAAGTCGTACTGATAAACGCTGTCTAACCGCCAGGATGTATTAAGGAACACAGAAATCGAACCAAGTATAGAACATTTTATTCCACTAATGGGACACAACTGTAAACAATTTATTTCTATGTAGGTCGAGTATATTTTTAACAGATTAGGCAATCAAATTAATCAATAACGCACACATAGTAACACAATGAATAATTGTAAGATTGATGAATTCGTTATCAAAAAGACCTTTATTAGCGATTGTTTATATTATGACAAAGTAAATCACACACAATCAATATCCAAGCGACGTCACACGCATTCTCTTAGGTACGTACAAACACGGGTGGTTTTACTACTAGTTTCTTGCTTAACGATATCTACGTTCTTTTACAATTGCACATGGTCTGTTATTTCCAGGATGAGTGATCAGCTTCTGCGTGGATCCTCCAGGTGGAGTCTCAGAATATGATCAACCTTAATAGTTCTTAATAGTTGTATCGACAAATCTATGCCTTGTTTGCTTCGATTTGCCAAACGGAGTGATCATATATTCGGGCGTAAATGATGTCTTACAAATTTAGCAATTCTTTTTACTTCTCTATCAAGGACATTTTTATTCTAGAATTCTTTTCAAAAAATTCCTTACAGCCATATTAGAGCTGGCTACTTAAAAATACTATGTAGATTCTTCTGTATCTTATCGGTTTTCCGACATGTTGGGTCCGAAAGGAATCACTGCATATTGGGTGATATCTTTATTTCATGTTTCACAAATGTATGATTAATTTCCTGCAATGAGTACTAAATACCGGTTCTTCAATATCCCCTTTTTAATATATACTGACACGTTGAGCGAAACGATTCGAATCTTCTTGGTATTCGAGGACGGTCCGATAAATACAAGCAAAACCATGTTTTATTTTGCCTTTGCAGCAAGTTATCACTCGGTAATCAATTTCGAATACGTTGATCAGAAGTTTTGTTTATGTCTGTAATTAATTTGCTCGCGGCATTACCTATAAATGAGCCTGCACTCTGCCACATTGTTGATCCAATGCGATGGATGGAATGATACACATGGAATTTTAATATAAACAGTAATTCGTTCTAACTCGGTTTTGGATAAATATTATGCGTATTACGGCTTATGGCTTGTGACCAGCCTATCGGCCTTTTAACTTTCTTGCTATTTCCTTTTTCGGTTGGGAAATTTTAGTTAATTTTAGTTAGTCGGTTTCAAGTTCAATACGCCTCTAGCACATTGGATTAGACAAGGTGCGATTGACCACGCGGACTTTCCTGCCTATAAACTAATGTTAACAATCTTGAGATGTCATACTCACGGTAAACGCTAACGGTGCTCTTCTTACAAGCGTTAGTTATTAATTAGGAGACAGGCAAAAAAGTTAAAGCGGACATTGAGATAGCAAGTAAACGTAGACCCATGCGCAAGCTCTTTGCTAGTAAAGACCATTCCGGTACCTAAAAATGTTTAACAATACTTACGCAATATGAAACAATTGAATTAGATTTTTGCTGAAAACTTTCTATTTATTTTACTTCGATCATGGCTGCCCTTTGTCTTAATTCTGCAAGCCTTGACAGGTATCGGTCTATAGCAAAGGATGCATTACATTGGAACCTACGGCACAGCAATCTCACAGCATTTACGGCGTATTATTTACGACAATGTTCGTTCAAGTGCTTGAGCTATTAATCTACGCTTGAAATGTGCGCGTTCGGGCAATGTCCCTTTCTTTTACGGCTCTGTTATTCGTCAATTCCAGTATATAAATTCTTTTATCTAAATTGAAATAATCCAGTCTCATAGTAATGCCTGAAAAAAATGTCGGCCCATGTATCAATAACTTTTGGGACTTGGGACTTCAACTTGAAAACAACGCCAAGATTACATTTGCCAAATGTGAATGTCGGTGACGATAAGACGGCGCAGTCTAATGTCATTGCCATGCGAATGACTTCACAATCATTTAATGTCACGTGAATGTATCGTCGATTTTTTTCACAGATAAGAATGTTGATGCAATAATATAAATATTTATCCTTCGCAATCAAAATAACATTTGTGAGACGCAAATGTACCTTACTTACTATTACTAAACAGTAATACATGAAATTCGATCATCAATGGTCGTAGCAGAACTCTGACATAATTCGATAGATTGCATTGATTGGTGCCATAACCTAATTAAACATTGAGACAGAGTCGTAACTACCACAATTGTGCAAAAAATTCTTGCTATTCTACTGGAACAACCTTATTATTATCTCTCAATGATACGGTTCAAATACACCATAACGGGTGCAAACCTCGGTGTACCAACGATCTGTTTAGTTTGACTGCCAAGATAAGAGTCTGTCGCCATGAGGTTTTTCCTTGGGCATTTTGAATTGCATGTTTTTGGAAATTATATCCACGTGCAACATGCAGATCGAGCAGTTTTGTATTGGATCCGTCATCCCTTCTTCAACTTTATGTCCATGGATCGAAACTACGATCAGCGACGTACTACCCCACCAACGTACAATCGCAGCGGTAGAGACACTACTTCGTACAGACCAACAACCACCTCTTCCTATGCGACAGACAGAGATTCTGGTTACTCTTCTACCTCGCGAGATTTACCCTTCTCTAGCCGCCACGACTCGGCCTCATCCTCTTCCTATGCGACAGACAGAGATTCCGGTTACTCTTCTACATCGCGAGATCTATCCTCCTCTAGCCGCCACGATAGAGACGATCTCTCACATGCTGCCTTTAGAGGACAAGTACCCTACATAACCTCTAGAGATTCGCGGCCTCCCTTGATGGTAAACAATCTTCCACAACAGTCTTACGATCGGAGACCTCCGTATCGTAACTTGTCAACATACAATTCATATCAGCGTATGGCTGGCCCATCTCCGCGAGAGTTTTCGTCGTTCAATAGTAATTCCTATTCACGCGGACAGGTGTATCATAATTCATATCAGAGACCGCCTTTTGGCAATAATTCGTACAATGCTCCTCCTCATAGAACCCAGAATAATTACTATCCTCCTGCTAAGCCAGTGCAGATTATTTCATATGCACCTGAATACGAGGACAAGGTGAGGACAAATTACATTACTGGATTAGGAACAGTATTTAAAAACCGCAACTCGTCCATGTAATACGATTTGGTCCATTCCGTAACAATCATTTTCTCGTTGTTTATTAATTGTCTTTGCTTTATAGATGACTAGATACAGATTGGAAGGACAGCGGCTACGCGAGTCGGAGATAACTCTGGATGCAAGCGTACGGAAAGCTGAATGGGAGCTTCAGAAAGCTAAATGGGATTTGGAGAAGGAAATGCACAAGACCAGTCTGGCTACCAATATGATAGAAAAGCTGGGAGGTGTAGACGGATGTGAGGAGGCTGTTGAGTCATCATGATAAATTATAAAGATTCGGGAGGGAAGTGCGCGATAGTATTCGCGTCTTCCATCGCGTTGATCGATAGAGTGTCTGCATTCATAATATACGTCATTCCGTGGTCGGATAGTATGCCAACGCTCTTATCAAGATAAATTCATTAAATCTGTGGAAATTTTAACACGCAGGCTTGAGAACAATCAAAATTCCCCTGATTTGTGGTGAGTTAATACGTAAGTTTATATTCTATTGAATTCTTTTCTCATCTAATTGCCCCATCTATTATGGATTCTTTGTCGTGTTCTAGCTTGAAACAAAACGATGGGTGTATAACAAACATTTAATTTCAAAATTTGGTTTCTCGAAATACAATGTCCAAGCATACATATGTGATATCATTCACAGAGTATGAATATAATACAAGTGATTGCTAATATGTAATATGATGTTATTTGCTATTGTCATCAATCGTATACTCTGGTATTGTATGATATATAATTGAGCACCATTGAAATTCAATCATTTTTGGATGGGAATGGAGGTGAGATCTATGAGTGGAGAGAACGGGTAGGGAAATGTGTATAATAGCAAGAAAATACAAGGAGACAAGATGGGAGAAAACAATTAAAGTTACTCTCATTTTGTCTCCGAGACAACAAACTTTTAGTGGTGAACAGAGGTCGTTCACTGCTTCTATACTTGCGAGAATTGGGACAATGCCTGCTTTACGCGCTCGCGGACATCTAAATGCCCATCTTCTGCCATGTTTTTAATTTTCTCTTCAAAGCCCATCTGTCGTAATCGTCTGATTCTTTCTTGTGTTCCTACTGCAAAACATGAAAACAAAATCAGCATGAAACCAGAGTAAGTTTGTATTTATGCCATTGTATTTACTTATTTGTTTGTCTTCTGGATGAGTGAGATTGTTGAGACACCAAACTGCAGCTACGCGTATTTCCGGATTCTCATGGCCCATGTATTTGAGTATGCTTTGTAGTATTGATGATCGACTCATGATGCTTTGTTTATGTCGTTCGTCTCCGCTCGCGATATTAGTAATGACATACAAAATCTAAATGATCACGATTCAGTCAATGAATACAAACTGTTCCGTCAAGTTATTGCATTAATCGTTACCTGCATAATGATCTCTTCTTTTGCTTCGTATCGAAGCAATTTGTTTTCAATAATGTCCATTAATTGATTTTCACCCAATCCTTTAAATACTTCCTCGATATCCTGGTTCAATTAGACGTGGTCAGCAAAGATATATCTAGGATTCAATTATAGTTGGCTTATAATTATAACGTACCACTGCTCGTTTACATGCAAGATTACGCAACAGAGTAATTGCCTGTTCCTGAATATCGATTTCTGGATCGTCTATTAGGCTATATACAATTTACATCAAACCAGAAATTAATATAACGTTTTGTTAAAGACTATGTATCCTGGAGTACCAAATAGGTTTCTATACAGATACAACCTACCTTGCCATTGTAGGATATGTCAATATTTTCATTACGGCTTCTTTTATATCTGATTCTGCGGAACACACTAAATTTTTTAATGCCCATATTGCATTAAGCCTAAGAGCATTATCAGATGACCGAAGCAACTCCACGAATTTCTCTATTCCACCCATTTCGACGACCGTCTATAGATATTAAAGCAATGATTGAATCATGAGTGATTTTGCGACGCAAAATTAACTAATTGCGTATTATTTGCTCTCGTTGATATCCTACTATAAAAATACATGTTTAACTATATAACATATTTCATATATAATCAATTATCTCGTACTTTTTCGAAAGTATCAGTTAAACCAATGGTGCGCTGGTATTTTTAGATTTATATTAGTCATATATTATACAAATACCTTTTTCATCGGAGCAAATTCGAGGACCATATTACATAGTGTAGCGCATGCAATTGTCTGTACATCTGTTGATTCGTCAGAGAGAAGCTATCATCACAAAACGACAGGATAAATACCAATTTCACCCATACCTAACAACCGCAGAAGATTCATCACGTAAGTTCACTACTACCTTAAATAATGGACCAGCCACACCTGCATCTATTAGACTGGTACGTAGTATGTTTACTGATCTGGACAGACTCCGCGTACATTGACATGCCGCAGCCCGCACTCCATATGAGCGATGCGACATTGCTTGTACAATCTGTGTTACTATATTCGCTTCTACAACCTGGGTTATGATGACGGGTCATTATTATCATAATCCTCTGAATTCGGATACATCAGCAGTCAAGTAATTGTTACTATACCAATTTGCGACCAGTGTCAGTCAATGAACTCATTGCTGCAAGAGCAGTAAGAGCGTTCTGTATTAGGGTACATAGTCAGTACATAGTGCCGTTTGTATTAGAGATTATAAGTAATTCACAGAGTACAAGATAAAAGAGCTAATTTTTACCTCTTTTAATTTGTCACTATCAGCTGAATCGTAATATAAACGTTCTTCATTTCCAATCTGAGTAATAATCTGAGCCAGCTTGGTTATAGCCTCTGCTTCGCAAGCAGCCTTTTGCAAATTTTCATTGTCTCTGATTAAATATGCTTTTAATTATAAGATTTTACGGAACAAAGCGTATAACATGAGAATTGTTTATAATACACGCAATAGCTGTGGCCTAAAATAAAATGCATAGCCAAAATTTACCTAGGACATGAGGTGCTTCTTCCTGAACAGGCCCTTTCTCATCAAGTAATTTGACCAGCGTTGGTAGGACACCCAATTTTATATCATCGGAATACTCTTCTATTGCTTTGCAACGATTCAAGTGCGTCAAGCTAAAAGATAAAGAAATAAAATAAAACAAAACAAATAAATATTATATAACTCAATCATAGTGATAGACGGATAATTAGGCGCGGCGACGGACGCCTTCATGCAATGAATACGAAATCATTCACACTCACCATCTCGACGCTGTTAATCTCATCATTGGTGATTTGTCTCGTATTAGCTTTAACATAATGTCAACAGGACTGCCCCCTGTATCGGCTATACATCATAAATCATAAGCATTAGCCATCGATTTAGCAACCATTCATTCGCTTGTTCTCTCTCCCCTCCCTCTTGCATATATAGTAAAACTTCACTGCCACCAACCAAGACAATATAATTACTTTTGATTTCAACAATAGCTTTGCCGAACATGGTATTCTCCCGACACAGAAACGCCAAAGCATCTAAAGCCGCTTCTTGAGCTTTGGCATAGCCACATGTAAGTAATTTTATCAGTGCAGTCGGTGCACCCGCGTGTGCTATTTGCAATTGCTGCTCGCTCGTATCACAACATCGAGCAATAATCGTTGCTGCTACTTCGGCAATGTGAATAGCCGTGATCTTTTCGCGATCGGTCTTTGGACTTAGAGAATCTGGGTTCAGAAGCACGATGATATCTCGAAGATAGTCATCCTATAGTCGTAAGGATGATAAACCGGTGTTAAGAAATGGCGAGTTGTCACAAATTCAAATGCGAAACGAATAAAGCGATATATAAATCATGAGATGAAGCAAATTAACGTTATATCAAATGTCGTTTCTCTGCTATTTGTAAACTCACGTGAAACACATCACTCTTGTCTGCAGCAGGCGACTTGTAAGCGGCCTTGAGCGCTCTCGCAGCCGCTTCAATCAACTTTGGGTCATTCTTCAATGATATGCAGTCTAATAGAGGTCTTATCGCGTTATGTCTAACAAGGTCCATTACATTCTCCTCTCCACCTTTAACGTAAATTTATTTACAATGTTAGAACCAGAGGAAACAAGAATGCTTCAAGGTTATCAATGTTCGCTACCAACCATACGCAAAACTTCCGAGAATTATTACAGATTGGATCTTCACTTGCGTATCAGCTTCACTCCTATCCCCAAGAAATTTGACCAGCCTGATGTGCACACACATTTAGGTACTATTAGTTAAACTTTCGGATATATTTATATTTATAATAACCAAGTTCTTTTTAGATGTTTACTTTGGTATGACATTGAGTTGAATGTAGAGATCTTTCTTTGTCTTATTGCCAATGACGTTGTTTTTAATAAACCGAAGAGCATTTAAACACGTCGTCCGATCTGGTGAATTCAACTCTGCAACGGCCTGTTCATGCTTGGACGAATTCATCCTGTACTTATGGTCTTACTGTAAATGTCTAATGAGCGATTGTGTAAAGCGAGGTTGCGGTTTTTTCTTCAGGGAGATGCGGTGATGTCAGAGCCAGAAATGGAAAACGTTTGTTTAATCTTATTGTATTATATTAATTAGTATTAACAATAAATCATAAAAAGTGTCAATTGTTAATCACGTGATTAAATGCAGTTGAAAATTTTGATATTTGAAAATTAAATTTTCAGTGGCGCATATAGGAATAATGAATAAATATTATTCCATTACAAATGCTGACGCGAGGTTCTCCTCTATATAAGTTCAGCTTCCGAAAGAGACACTGTCTTGTCGCTTCCTGTTTATTCTTCACGATTGCACTACAGTGAAACCTCTTTATACCGGTCAGCCCCATCTACGGGAATTTTTGGCCGGTATAAGGGCATAATAATAAAAAGCAGGTACAGTGTGTAACAAAAATATTGCCTTCGGATAATCAAGCAATGCGTTGTTTATCGTAAATGCGTCTTTTTTTCAATTAGTTACTATTTTGGTAAACGGATATAAATTTCAGAACAACTCATTGTTTGCTCTCCCGCATCATGGTGAACTCTAGACTAGAGGTACAGCGACAAACAATCCTCCATTATTGGGACGGGCATCCAATCCTCAAAAGAGATACATTAAAAGCTAATATTTCTCTTCGTCTATAATCTTAAAAAATTCGAAGTACAAAAACCATTGAGCACAGAAAGGAAATCCTTTGAAGGTTATACAAAGTGTCTCACGCGCCGTTAGACAGTACATGCACCGGAACTCTGCTGTTTCAACACGGCAACTTGCATTAAAGGTGCGAGAGACGCTCAAAGAATGTATGACAGGAACTGGCGTCTACAACAAGACAATGAAGATCATGTGTTGCTAACGCTAAGGAATTTATAGCCGAAAATGGGATTCGGGTCATAGACTGGCCATCCAATACATTTATGGGTTTGAGAAGTGGGATGCAATCTCTGAGACAGTGAATAATTTGGTGCTATTAATTAAAAATAGGTATAACCTTGTTTTGGGGATAGAATTTGATACTGAAAATTTTATGAGTAATAAGTATGTGATAAGCTTTTTGGGAAACCTGGAATTGTTTAATTATTTTGTTGCATTATACCATTTTTCTGAAAGCAATTATTTCGGTACACACCGTCATCGTATCAAAGAACCCCAAACTTGAGAAGGGTCCCTAAACATTTTTCTTACTATTATCTCAATCAGCGGATAAACGCTGAGTTAGTTATGTTGTAAATAGCCGATTTTGCTATTTACTACGGAATTGTTTAATTGGTCAAAAATTCACTCCCATGTATTTTAGAGTTG